TGGTGTCCCAATTATGATGCAAATTTGATAAATTTTAGGCTTTCATTAGAAAACCTATCAGTGCTTCCTGTTTACTGTAGTAAACCAATGCTGTTTTCAACGCAATGCTATTGACGCCGACAGCAGAGTTGGGCTCCATCAGTGGCGGTGGAGAAATGGTATAAAAAAGATTCTCTAAACCAAACAATATAAAGTCTGTTAGTTCAACTACAAAAAAACAAAAACGTCTTTGATAATTTGCTGTAAACACTATCTCGGTATCATACAGAAATTCAATTTTTTTCCTTCAACAGTAACGTCAATGAAAGATAAAACGATTTGAAGAAAATAATTTTCTCAAACATGTCAGTTACAGAAGATAAACAAGAAAAAATTTTTGTTCAAAATTTTATTGAAACTGTTAAATTACGCGTCCAGTAGTGCTAAAAAGAAAAGAGAAAAGAAGAAAAATTTTCAATTTGACCTTTCAACAGCAGAATTTAACAGGTTAACGATAAAATTTATGTGCCCTTCAATGCTTGTAATTAAAATAGTTATGCTGAAAGCTTTGTTGCAAAATTAAAAAATTTTTTTGCATTAACAGCCAACAAAAAAACTAGCCATTGAACAAGAACGAACGTTAAAGCACAAAAAAACTGTTCTGTTTCATTTTTTATTCTTACCGCAAATCTGACATCAATAAATAACAGAAAAGCGTCTTATAGCAAATTAAGAAAAAAACTTTTGCTTTAATTGCCTGTACGTAATTTTTTGGTGAGAAAAATTTAGTATTTTTCTTTATCTCATTTCAGTTTCGTATAGAAAAACAGAAAATTTAAAAAAAAACCAAGCAATGGATAATGAACTTGAGAAGATTACTTTGAACTTAACCACAGATTTGTCTCACTAATGACGTAAGAGCCCCCAACTGAAATCACCGTCCTAAATTCCATCGAACTTACCCTACTGGAGAAGCAACAAGAAAATAAAAAGAAGAAAGAACAACTTTCTGAAGTTTTTTAGAAACAAAAGGAAGACATAAATGATAGGAATTTTAGAAAAACGGTGAGCAACGAACATCGTCAAAACGATAGCAACAGTCGGCGACAACACCGCATAGTAGTGTGGCGAACCATTTAACTTTCAGCAGTTGAATACTACGAAATTTGTTGACCCGTTTTTAGCCGCTATATCCGTTTGTAGAACAAAGCGTTCTAAGCGTGGTGACAAGGTTTACTGTTTGCAGATGACAACATACAAAAGAAGATTAGTGATTTTAAAGATTAAACAGAAAGAATTTCTTCAAGAAACAATTAAACTGCAGCCTTTTGGCAATAAAATTAAACTTTTATTTATGGTGTTATAAAATAGCGATTTATTTGGAAAAGGAGGAAAAACACAGCTAATGTGTCAGTATTAATATTTTAATGGTATCATAGTAGGCAATAAGAGCAGAAAATGAACTTTTTCTTTTATTTGCTCAAGCATTTGCAAATACGACTTAAAGTTTAAGACGACACAAAGATTAGCAGTCACAGCGCCAGAACACTGAAGTTGAATTAACTTTTCCGTCTTTGACATTTGAAACTTTTCTGAACGCACAAAGCGAAGCAGCTTCCACTGAACATATTTTCATTGTTTATCAATAGTTGGTCGTGTTAACAACAGATTGAAGACACACCATTAAAATTTCCATATTTCTCCATTATGAATGTACGTTGGTCATTTACGTAGATACGCCATTAGGTAGAAATCAGCGAAAACCACCATTAGCAAATGCATACCCGTTTCACAAGCCGTATTAAGAAAACTGTATTGATGAAATAGCTGAATAAAAATGCTTTATTGGCT